GGATGGCCTGCCTGAGCTCACAAGTTTGAGACCAGCCTGAGCAAGAGCAAGACCCTGCCTCCAAAAATAGTCAGGCATTTTGGCAGATGCCTGTAGTCCTAACTACTTGGGAGGCTGAGGCAAGAGAATCACTTGAACCCAGGAGTTTGAGGTTGCTGTGAGCTATGATGCTCTGGCACTCTACTCAGGGCAACAAAGTAAGAGTCTGTCTCAAAAAATAAATAAACAAACAAACAAATACAAAGCATGGAAAATAGGAAGAAAATGTTCCATATATATTAAATTCAGTGTCCCCTTCTTAAAGACATCTGTAGGTCAATTCAGATCTCATTTTGGTTGAATATTGGTTATTCTGGACAGTCCCCACGATTTCAAATTTATTCAGGGACTTAAGTGTTATGCTTAAACAAAATGATCTTTATTCTCAGTGGGGCATCTTATTGGATTCTGAAATCACTTTGCAGGGATTCATGGCACAGTTCAACACCTTCCTAGTTGGGAAAATTTGAGCAAGTTACCTAACCTTTCTGTATTTTAGTTTCTTCCCTTATAAAAAGAAATGATAACAGTCTCCTCAGAGCTGGTAAAATAAATGTATTATTCATCTAAAGAACCTGTTAGTTATCATCATTAAAGTGCTAGAAATAATCTAGCATGACCCATGTAAGGCCAACAAAGGTTTGATGTCTTTAACAAGAATTAAAAAGAAAATTTATTTTAGAAAAAGTTTCCATGAGTCTACTCTTAAAACACAACCCTTTTCTCATAGTTTATTAACTGAAAAATAATCACACTCAATTGAGATTATGAATATTTGAAATGCCTTAAAAATAAGCAGATGCCACAGAAGAAACCATTAGTCACAAATCCTACTCATCTAAGAACTAGTGAGCATAAAGAGATTTTTTTTTTTTTGTCTTTAAAAAAGCAGTTACAATTTACAAAGACTAAAAAACAGCTGTGAACATCCTTTTAGGTATGGACCAAATGTTTTAGCAAGAAAGAACCTTGGGGCAGGGGAGATCATTTATCCCATTATACACAAACTTATCTGAAAACCTATAAAGCTTCTAAAGTTGTTTGGTCAACTTTATAGTGGAAATGAGAGAGTTGAGATTAAATATGAGAATAAAAGGAGTCACAAAATGGCAGGTGGGAGGAAGACATCTGACCAAGAGAAAAATCATAGTTTATTATAGGCAAAGAGAACATAAAAGTCCATTTCCATGGGACTCTTGCCTCCTTCTCCTCACAGTTAGAGTGGAAAAAACTAAGCCATCCACCCAACTAGCTACTCAACTGATTAGATCACTGAATGACATTATTCACATAGACAACTCTTCCCTGCTTTAAAGCAGAAAGTCCATCCTATTGAAAGTAAAAACAAATGCAGCTTTTTATAAATAAGATCAACATCAAAGATATCAAGCATAAAGTCTTGGAAGAACATACCTCTCCTAACAGCTGAGGTACATCTATTTTTGATTTGGAACTCTAAAGGCCATTACTTAAGTTAGTGATTTTCTTATTAATTTCATTTATAGCTCATGTATTATACTAGGAGATAATGATTTGAAATATAGTGACATATACACCCAAATATAGTCAATCTATTATTCCAGTTCCCTTTTACACATGCAACTTCTGTTTCACCAACTATACAAAGTTCTCCAGTACAACCAGCACTGGAGACCTGAAAAATGCTCTCCTGATATTGACATTGCATTATAAATGATGAAGAAAAATTAGAGACAATTTGGAAAGGGGAAAAAGAGCATTTTGCCTCACCTTTTCCCATTCAGCTTATCTGTATATAACAGTAGCTATTTCCTAAGCTTTCAATAAGTGATCGGCACATTTGTAGGTAATAAACCCATACTTCTTGATCAGCACAATTTAAGGGACAAGGCATAATTGGAGAACATAAAAAAGTTTAACAAAGTTAAAAAACACTTATGCCATATCATTACAGGATATGTAAGAGCAAGAACCTAGGAAAAGCAATATTCTATAGCTGTAGAAGTGGGTGCACAGTTCTCAGTGGTGACTTTGAGTCAAGAATATAATTGCTACCATGGCTTTCTTAAAGGCTTCCTGGATCTTCCCCCCCCCCTTTTTTTTTTTTTTTTTTTTTTTTTTTTTTTTTTTTGAGACAGAGCCTCAAGCTGTCCCCCTGGCTAGAGTGTTATGGCATCACAGCTCACAGCAACCTCCAACTCTTGGGCTCAAGCAAATCTCCTGCCTCTGCCTCCCAACCACAGACCCCCACCACAACGCCAAACTATTTTTTGGTTGCAGCCATCATTGTTGTTTGGCAGGTCCGGGCTGGATTCGAACCTGCCACCTTAGGTGTATGTGGCTGGCGCCTTAGCCTCTTGAGCCACAGGTGCCGAGCCCCTCCTCCCCGCATTCTTTTTCAATCTGGAGGATGAGATGAGAGAAAGAAGGAGCATCTGAATGAGAATACATTTCAGCAGGTTTGCAGCACACAGGTTATTTCCGGATCTCATGCTGTTGCATACCTGGAAAAGTTAAGTGGACAGCCAAATGCTATGCTTTATCAGAAAGGAGCCAGGAGTTCACACCTTACAGGAAAAAAAGTTCATATGGGAAAAGAAACCTTGACATTAATGGAAGAAAGTATATAATCTTACAGTCATTGATCCTCATGAACAACACAAAGGCCCCATTTGATAAATTTGTACTGATTTTATTTTAGATCTTCACAGGACTCTAAATCACAAATGTTGAAATGGCCTTATCATCAATGACTTAAAATGTGGAGAATTGGCCAGGCATATTGGCTCACACCTATAATCCCTGCACTTTGCCAAGGCAGGACAATCACTTGAGGCCAAGAGTTCAAGACCAACAACACAGTAAGACCTTGTTGCTATAAAAAATCAAAATCAAAAAATTACCCAGGCATGGGGGTGTGCACCTGTAGTCCCAGCTACTTGGGAGACTGAGGCAGGAGGGTCACTTGAGCTCAGGAGTTAGAGGTTTCAGTGAGCTATGATATTCTACTATACTTTAGCCTGGGCTACAGAGTGGGACCTTGACTCTAAAAAATAAAAGAAAAGAAAAAACTTAAAATAATTATTATAGAAGTGTTCTATAATGTTTAATAAGGTGGTGTTTTCAGCAATAAAGTGGAATTGACTCTAGAATATATTTGATTGGGTTTGTCCAACTCAAAAGATAGCCTCAATATCATGGGGCAGAATCTCGAAAAAGTCAAGAAAAACCTATAAAAAGCAAAGAGACAAACCAATAAACAATTATTACCACACAAAACTACATGCTTCTCAGTTTCATGGTACGTTTGTTTGTTTGTGGCTTCATAGCTCACAGCAACTTCAAACTCTTGGGCTCAAGCAATCCTCTTGCCTCAGCCTCCCAAGTAGCTGGGACTACAGGCACTAGCCACCATGCTTGGCTAGTTTTCCTATTTTAAGTAGAGATGAGGTCTTGCTCTTGCTCAGGCTGGTCTTGAACTCCTGAGTTCAGTCAATCCATTCACCTTGGCCTCCCAGAGTGCCAGGATTACTGTATGAGCCACAGCAGCCAGCTGTTTCATGAAATATTAAGTAGAAAATTCAAGAAAATATTCTAAAGATAGGTTTTATTATATAGATACTCCTATTATATGAGCATGTAGAAGACTATTATAAACTAAAATTTACTTCTTTCTCATATATGATCATCTACAGTAGTATTTAAAATTCTAAAATTCTAATACCTACTAAATATAAAGTATACACTTTGGATTCTCACTAAAATTAACTACATAAAGAGACAGTTTCTGAGACATGAGAAATGGTTTGAAATGGTTGCATATTATATGACCCAAAGAATTATTGTTAAGTGTGTTGTGACAATGGCACAGAGGCCATGTGGAAAAAGTGTCCACACTTTTAAAATATACATACTAAAGGTTGAAGAGCTGAAATAAGATTTGTTTTAAAATTATTCAGCAAATAAAAAATGTTTTGATAATTACTCAATTTCAGCAATGGGATTATGAGAATTCATGCCTTACTTCACAGGTCTGTGTAAGTTTGAAATTTTTTGTAATAATTTTTTTAAAACTTTCTATTATCTAGACATATTCCTAAAAGACCCTACTAACAGCTAGGGAGAAAATGTTCTTGTAAGTTTTAAAAACTGAAGTACAAGGTGGCACCTGTGGCTCAGTGGGTAGGGTGCCGGCCCCCATATACTGAGAGTGGCGGGTTCAAACCCCACCTCAGCCAAACTACAAAAGTAAAAAACAGCCAGGTGTTGTGGCGGGCCCCTGTAGTCTCAGCTACTCAGGAGGCTGAAGCAAGAGAATCACCTAAGCCCAGGAGTTGGAGGTTGCCGTGAGCTGTAACACCATGGCACTCTACCAAGGGCAATAAAGTGAGACTATGTCTCCAAAAAAACCCAAAAACTGAAGTACAAAAATGATAAAATTGATATTTTTAGATCCATTGTTTTATACAGCTAATCAGAATTTCTTCTAATTTAAGAAAAAAATGTAAGGAAGACCTTGTTAAAATTTTATATTAAATGACTCTTACCGCCTTATCACAAAGCAACAAAATATTTATTTCCAAAAGATGTGTAAAACAGTGTGCCTTTCACCAAAAGCAGCCTTTTCCCTGTTACAAATATTTAAAATTCACAATATGCTCTTTCTATCTCAAAGACATTTTAAAAATGATTTCCCTTCTTTTGGGAAAAACTATATGATGAGAAAACAACTTGGCAAAATTTCTCTAAACAATGTATAGCAAAGGTTAAAAAAAGAAAAGGAGAAGAAAGAAAGAAAAGCTTCCAGGCAAAAAGACTCAGAGGGAAAAAAAAGAACGTTTCCAAAAGCATTTTGGAACCTCATTCTACTTCTGTACTAAGCTCTCTTTTTCCTCCCAAAATACGTCACTTAACTGTCAAAATAACTCTTGCCCATTCTACCTGATCACTCTCCAGAGCTGCAGCTGTTCCTGGATTCATTTCTCAATGACAAGCTGTTCAAACAGAGAGCACCTATCACAACGAATATGATCATCTGCGCCTCTCTTTCTTCCTTTCAGGATATACTGCTGTCCATCAGGAGAAGTAATTAACAGGCTGATTATGTATGAAAGCGTCATCCCATCAGTTTGCGGCTGGCTTGAATAGCTCATCTCAGCTTTTCATTCATGCCAAGTAGACTCCGTGTCCGGAGATATGATAAAGCCATACCTCCTCTCGGATTTTTCCCTTGCTACTTGAAAAACAGCGCACCAGAACTATGTGTTACAGGGGCACTAGGAGAACCGAAGAAGAAATCCTTTTATCCTCTAGCTAATGGACTGAAAAGTTGGTAAAGAGAAAAACAAGGAAAGCCAGAGAGTGCAAGAGGACATCCATGCTTCTAGACCAGGTCGTTGTTTGGGGTTTTGGGGGTGTTTTTTTTTTTTTATAAAGCAGCTTGATTTGGGAGCATGTGTAGTTCTGAAATATGAACAAACAGAACTTTTCCAGAGGGTAAAATGTCTATAGAAACAGCCAGGATTTCTCACTGCTGAAGCATTCAATGAATTTTTAATAAGTTCTGAACACTCAAATTGTCTGCAGTCAGATCAACTGCTGTTACCAGATAAAGGCAAAATTCACCCTTCTGGTTCTATAATCCTATCCATATAGTCTCCATCTAGTGCATGCTGTCCTAACTAATGCTTCAGGATTATCAGGAATACAGAAATAAAGACACTGCAAGAAATAAAACGCACCGGGAAAAGAGAACACGAAGGGGAAGTACAGAAGGCATCTCAGGTACGAAGCTTACTATTTCCAGCCAGAGTTCAAATTACGGAGCTTCAAACAAACCACTACCAGGTAAGATTTAATTTTATAATGTTAATTGATCACTTGGCAACTAAAATTAAATCTGCTCGTGCTCTGAATGAGTAGATTTGAATTTCATGCAATCCTCCCTTAAGATTGCTGCAGATTTAAGCTTTCTGAGATAAACATTTATTTTTACTTATGGTGCATAAACAAATCACTCGTAACTAGATAATAAAACATCCAAAAAGTCTCATTCATCTTTTGCTGTATTTGTCTCACCTTTGTCTTCATTTTTGAAAAATCCTGGTTTCATTTAATAATAACTTGAAAAATGCATGAAGAAAATGCTGAATGGTGCCTAAAAGCCATTCACAGGCACTATTTACCAAACATATTCAAATGAACTTTGAACTTTGTTTCCTAGGGTACTCGGTAAAACAAAGAAAAATTAATAAGCATTTTAAATGTTTCTTTTAATGCACAAAAAACAAATGACTATGACCAGTTTTTACTGTTAGCAAGGAAAAAAATATCTGTGATGTCATTCTCATTCCCACTAAAAAAATAACAATCTCTAGTAAACTAAGGTATAGACACCCTCATAGAACTTATGGGACTTATTTACCCTAAAGATACTGTGCATATTTTTATAACAGACTGAATGAGGACAATTTTCTGATTTAACAAAAAAGAACAAAAAGATAGCTGGTTATCTTAAAACCTCAAAAGCTTTAACTCAAATCAGTGGTCCAAACTGTACTAGAAAATGCAAAAGAACTCTTGACACCATTAAAAAAATTTAAAGGGTACACTCCTTTTTTAGAAATTCCCTAGAAATCACTCCATAATGAGACTATTAGATAGCCTGGCTTTTGTTAAAACAGCAGAAAGGAACTATCTGACCTCCTTCACCTGATATTTTAATTTCCTAATGGATTGTTAGCAGAAATCCAACCATTGTTGTTTTCACATACATTTAATCGGGAAAATCAGATTCAAAGCATAGTCTTATACAGAAGTCCTACAACAAAAAAATCTTATTTCTAGTATTCTAGAAAAGGGAAACAACAAAGGAAAATCACACTGAAATATGGAGACCTTCTGATAATACCAGGAAAGTTATCAGAAGTGATTATTCAACACTTGTCTAGAAACAGTCAAATTGGAAATTCTCTTCCAATTCTCCGAATTCTTTCCTTTTTCCAAATTTTAATTGAGAATGAATTACAGGATCCTTTCACTCTTTTCAAGACAGTCTACAAAGAACCTTGTATATCAGCAATCTTTTGCGTTTGAAATCATTATAGAAACTCACTTGTCATTTTTTAGCACCGAAGAAAAACAGCAATTTAAATACAAGCAGTGATTGTGTAATATAGCAATTTGTTCAGAGAAAAATGTTTATTTCTAAATCTCAAAATACTTTGTTTGTACATCAGACATACCTAAAAGTTTTGTTGTTGTTGTTGTTGTTGTTGTTTTTGGTCTTTGGTTTGTTTGTTTTTTACCTATACTGAGACTTACCTGAACCCTTAAGGGTTCTTTTTACCTATTTCCTCTTTATTAGAATATAAACCGACATGCTTCAAAATATGTATGTATCTTAAGCAAAAAGTACTAATCAACATCTCAGAGCATAATTAAAGATGTTTTAAATTAATTTAAGCAAAAGTGTGGGATTTATAATATGCTCAATTTGCTTCCAATACATAGAATTGGAAGGGACATAAAACTGTACTGCTTAGGTCTTCTGGATTTCATTGACTCATTGTCATATAAACAGAGTCTCATGTCCTACTCATTTGGTAACTTTGCTTCCATAACTTTTCTTTTAATGACAGTAGATGACCAAAAGGATACTAGCTACATCCCTTCCTTATCCCAGTCAATCTTCACTTTCCTTCCTATTTAAATCAAGGCTTTTCTCTATAATAATCCATTCTGAAAAAATTATCATTGAAATTTAAATAACAGCTTTCAAAAAAATACCCCACAGCCATTTGGGATAACCTACATCTTCTTCATTTTGGTGAAAAAGGAAATAAGAAACATTGAAGATTGCCTCAACTTAGCATTTCCTGGGTACAAATAGATAAAGGAGTTTATGTTAATACCAGAAGATATGGTTTTCCCTGGTGTTGATAGAGTTAACTTTTAAAGAGATTTTGAACATTCGTGGAAGTATTCAATTACTGCCTGCTTGTTTTTGTAATTTAAAATTTATTTTATTCATGTGTACTACATGGACATATTGTAAAAGTAATATGGTTCAGTGTGTTATCGGTTTCTTTCATAGAAATGCAGCAAATATTTTAACTACCATGTCCTTATAATAATATCTGTTACAATATCCTTAGTTTCTGGTCATTTTAAATCATCCAAGAACTATAAGGTTTTTGTTTAAACCAAATAAAACAAAAATAGGTACATAGGTCAAAATAAAGCACATCCATTTAGTGGCTGTTGACATACAACCTTAAAAAGAAAAGTCATTTTTGTCTGAAATAACAAGCAACAGAATTTTGTATATAAAATTAGAAACATACTTAAAATTCATTTTTATGTGTTAACATGTAATTTCAAGTGACCAACACTACATGATATTTTTAAATGCATTAAATGTGCACTGATATCCATAGTAACTGCAAAAAATTTTTAAAGAATTTTTTTATCTCAGTATAAGAGCAAAGTGTTTCAAGCCAGTGTATTTGTTCCTAATTATGGTTAATTTTCTTTATAAAGTAATCCAATTTGAACAAGGATGTAGTCCGTCTTGAAGATTCATCTCCTCTCCAGTTTCTTCCTGCTGACAGAGAATAATCTCGGGTCTGTGACATCACAGTCTGTGGTGGGGGAAGCGGCTCTGATATCTAACAGATGATTATAGGCTTTCCGTGTGAACTCGCTGCAGAAGAGATGTGAGCACTATCATTTCAAGCCACATCACTGAGACACTAAGGAGATGTGTGACAGGAGCTGAGTCAGAGAGGGATGCTTTCATTGCATGTGTCGCTTTTCCAGCATCAACTATGAAAGATAAAAGTACCATCTCACAGATGTCTTCAGTAATAATGGGGGAAGAGGAGTAAATGTCATGTTAGTTAAGTCCACAACCGATGATAAAATGGGAGTGAGGAAAATGCCAGCCAGCAGACAGACAATAAAAGAGGAACGTAAAGAACTGAGAAACAGGTGTAAAATTTCACCTTGGTTCAGACAGAAATACCCATCCTCCTCCAGACACTGAGAAAAGTATCAGTACATTCAAAGTGGCAAATGCCTCTGAATGAAAAAGAGGTCCCTAAACGTCGATTATAAAGTGATCCCATGACATAGATTACTTAATCCGTGACACACAAACTAGATTTGTAACATGAAGGCAGGGAAGAGGCTGGTTAACGTTCTTCTGAGAAAACATGAATTTGTAAAACAAAAAAACAAAAATAGTGGGGGGAATCTCTTTAATTAGCAAAACAACTGTGTTCTATCAAAGTCTTCAACAAAAATTTCCAAAAAATAATAAAATCAGGAGTTAGGGCTCAGTGAAGGAAACAGAAACGAGAGCTGCTCTGACAAACATACACAATCTCTCCTCTTTTTATGATCTTTGCTTACAACTATCGCTGCCGAAAGACAAGTGCAGTCTACCCTTCAATTGGTGAAAGTACCCTGATTCAAAATATCAGTTATTTGTGACTTACTCTCCTAGATGCACAGCCTATATAAATATTAGGTGTAAAAAAACAGTAACTCCACGCATAATTACAAGCCAAACCAAAGTCTCTTTATCTAAAGTTACACAGTTTGCTTGATATGCTGGTGCATCAGAAAATTCTTCAAGTGTTTACTGTAGGTCCTGCGTACTGGTTCATTACAGCCACTGTATTATTCAACAGTTGCTTACAGATCCTGACATCCTCCATTTTTCGGGGTGGAAGTATTAGTGAAATAACTCAAGAATCCTTACCAATCAGAAAACATTACCACTTTTATAGATCCATTTTTGATGTCACACTGTTGTCACCATTAGAATATGTGGGCCTTGCCATTTACTGATTATCACTATAGCAATGTAGCACTGAATAATGTGTTCTTTGGGGAGCAAAAGCCAGAGACAGTTTCTAGTTCATTTATCAAAGAAAAATCCTTGCTATTTACAGAACTTCTTAGAATAATAATCTAGATGTGCCATTGGTGCATTATCTAAATCTATCAGGCTAGCACGTAATGGTGCTACTCTAACATTTAACCTTCCATCTACTGCCTATTTTCCCTCTACATGTGTGCCAAGGATAAAGTCCTCTACATGCAGTAATTTCTGGACAACTTGTGGTAAGACTTACAAAAGAATTTTTCATGCCTAGTAACATCCATAGCACTTTGATGATACCTGTTTCATAAGAACGTATTAGCTTCCATTGAAAATCCATTTACATACTTATCTTGTCTATGAAACTCTGCATTCCTCATGGTTGAGGGTCTAATAAAAATGAAGACCACATCTGATTTGTCTCTTCCCGAGGTAAGCCCAGGACTAGTTAATCAATAGAGGTGAAAATGTATCCTAAGACGTTCTCAAGTACAATCACAAACAGGTAGAAGAACAGTGATCCTAAAACAGTAGTTCTCAACTTTCCTAATGCCGCTGCCCTTTAATACAGTTCCTGTGGGTAGTGACCCACAGGTTGAGAACTGCTGTCCTAAAATGTACCTCAGTTTTATTCAGTGATAATGGGCAACTACAGAAAAGTCTCAATGTGGGGGACTTCCAGAGCAGTTACACGGAAATAATACCTGTGATGAGATCATATCTGTTAGGGATAGTATTTGACACTATGAGGGATACAAATATAGGACAGCAAGTTTATCCTTCATCCTTTCGCTGTATTTATATGTGGAAATCACATTTGCCATACCAAATTATGATTAGAACTTCATTAATAGTCTAAAAGAATCTAAATTGGTCTTGCTATTAAAAATTGATTTCAGGGGAATTTAGATAAGCATTTTGCAAATGAAACTGAAGAGATACTGCAATCAGCTTCCTA